AAAATGAGGCATCCAATGCAGCGGACCAGTCAAAGTGGTGCGCTGGGCAGTCGGGGCAGTGTGCGCACCTATAAGGGGCGTACCAGGCAGATTTCGCTTGCGCCCCCGATTCGCTTGCCCCTGATTCGCTTGCGCCCGATTCGCTTGCACCCGATTCGCTTGCGCCCGATTCGCTTGCGCCCGATTCCCTTGCGCCCGATTCGCTTGCGCCCAATTCGCTTGCGCCCGATTCGTTGCGCCCGATTCACTTGCGTCCGATTCGCTTGCGCCCGATTCCCTTGCGCCCGACTCCCTTGCGCCCGACTCCCTTGCGCCCGATTCTCTTGCACCCGATTCGCTTGCGCCCGATTCGCTTGCGCCTGATTCGCTTGCGCCCAATTCGCTTGCGCCCGATTTGCTTGCGCCCGATTCGCTTGCGCCCGATTCGCTTGCGCCCGATTCCCTTGCGCCCGACTCCCTTGCGCCCGACTCCCTTGCGCCCGATTCGCTTGCGCCCGATTCGCTTGCACCCGATTCCCTTCCGCCCGATTCGCTTGCGCCCGATTCGCTTGCGCCCGATTCTCTTGCGCCCGATTCGCTTGCACCCGATTCCCTTGCGCCCGATTCGCTTGCGCCCGATTCGCTTGCGCCCGATTCCCTTGCGCCTGATTCGCTTGCGCCCGATTCGCTTGCGCCCGATTCGCTTGCGCCCGTTTCGCTTGCGCCCGATTCGCTTGCGCTCGATTCGCTTGCGCTAGATTCGATTGCGCCCGATTCGATTGCGCCCGACTCCCTTGCGCCCGACTCCCTTGCGCCCGATTCGCTTGCGCCCGATTCGCTTGCGCCCGATTCGATTGCGCCCGATTCCCTTACGCCCAATTCGCTTGCGCCCGATTCCCTTGCGCCCGATTCCCTTGCGCCCGACTCGCTTGCGCCCGATTCGCTTGCGCGCCCGACTCGCTTGCGCCCGACTCCCTTGCGCCCGATTCGCTTGCGCCCGATTCGCTTGCGCCCGATTCGCTTGCGCCCGATTCGCTTGCGCCCGATTCCCTTGCGCCCGATTCGCTTGCGCCCGATTCCCTTGCGCTCGATTCCCTTGCGCCCGATTCCCTTGTGCCTGATTCGCTTGCGCCCGATTCCCTTGCGCCCGATTCGCTTGCGCCCGATTCGCTTGCGCCCGATTCCCTTGCGCCCGACTCCCTTGCGCCCGACTCCCTTGCGCCCGATTCTCTTGCGCCCGATTCGCTTGCGCCCGATTCGCTTGCGCCTGATTCGCTTGCGCCCAATTCGCTTGCGCCCGATTTGCTTGCGCCCGATTTGCTTGCGCCCGATTCGCTTGCGCCCGATTCCCTTGCGCCCGACTCCCTTGCGCCCGACTCCCTTGCGCCCGATTCGCTTGCGCCCGATTCGCTTGCACCCGATTCCCTTCCGCCCGATTCGCTTGCGCCCGATTCGCTTGCGCCCGATTCTCTTGCGCCCGATTCGCTTGCGCCCGATTCCCTTGCGCCCGATTCGCTTGCGCCCGATTCGCTTGCGCCCGATTCCCTTGCGCCTGATTCGCTTGCGCCCGATTCGCTTGCGCCCGATTCGCTTGCGCCCGATTCGCTTGCGCCCGATTCGCTTGCGCTCGATTCGCTTGCGCTAGATTCGATTGCGCCCGATTCGATTGCGCCCGACTCCCTTGCGCCCGACTCCCTTGCGCCCGATTCGCTTGCGCCCGATTCGCTTGCGCCCGATTCGATTGCGCCCGATTCCCTTACGCCCAATTCGCTTGCGCCCGATTCCCTTGCGCCCGATTCCCTTGCGCCCGACTCGCTTGCGCCCGATTCGCTTGCGCGCCCGACTCGCTTGCGCCCGACTCCCTTGCGCCCGATTCGCTTGCGCCCGATTCGCTTGCGCCCGATTCGCTTGCGCCCGATTCGCTTGCGCCCGATTCCCTTGCGCTCGATTCCCTTGCGCCCGATTCCCTTGTGCCTGATTCGCTTGCGCCCGATTCCCTTGCGCCCGATTCGCTTGCGCCCGATTCGCTTGCGCCCGATTCCCTTGCGCCCGATTCGCTTGCGTCCGATTCCCTTGCGCCCGATTCCTTGCGACCGATTCCCTTGCGCCCGATTCCCTTGCCTCCGACTCGCTTGCACCCGATTCGCTTGCGCCCGATTCGCTTGCGCCCGATTCGCTTGCGCCCGATTCCCTTGCGCCCGACTTGCTTGCGCCCGATTCCCTTGCGCCCGAATCCCTTCTGCCCGAATCCCTTCCGCCCGATTCCCTTGCGCCCGATTCGCTTGCGCCCGATTCCCTTGCGCCCGACTCCTTTGCGCCCGATTCGCTTGCGCCTGTTTCACTTGCGCCCGATTACCTTGCGCCCGATTCGCTTGCGCCTGATTCCCTTGCGCCCGACTCCCTTGCGCCCGACTCGCTTGCGCCCGATTCCCTTGCGCCTGATTCTCTTGCGCCCGATTCGCTTTCGCCCGATTTCCTTGCGCCTGATTCGCTTGCGCCAGATTCGCTTGCGCCCGATTTGCTTGCGCCCGATTCGCTTGCGCCCGATTCGCTTGCGCCCGATTCGCTTGCGCCCGACTCCCTTGCGCCCGACTCCCTTGCGCCCGATTCGCTTGCGCCCGATTCGCTTGCGCCCGATTCGCTTGCGCCCGATTCCCTTGCGCCCGATTCGCTTGCGCCGGATTCCCTTGCGCCCGATTCCCTTGCGCCCGACTCGCTTGCGCCTGATTCGCTTGCGCCCGACTCGCTTGCGCCCGACTCCCTTGCGCCCGATTCGCTTGCGCCCAATTCCCTTGCGCCCGATTCCCTTGTGCCCGATTCCCTTGCGCCCGATTCCCTTGCGCCCGATTCCCATGCGCCCGATTCGTTTGCGCCCGATTCGCTTGCGCCCGACTCGCTTGCGCCCGATTCGGTTGTGCCCGACTTCCTTGCGCCCGATTCGCTTGCGCCCGATTCGCTTGCGCCCGATTCCCTTGCGCCCGATTCCCTTGCGCCCGATTTTCCTGCCTCCGACTCGCTTGCGCCCGATTCCCTTGCGCCCGATTCGCTTGCGCCCGACTCGTTTCGCCCGACTTGCTTGCACCCGATTCCCTTGCGCCCGAATCCCTTCCGCCTGATTCCCTTGCGCCCGATTCGTTTGCGCCCGATTCGCTTGCGCCCGATTCCCTTGCACCCGACTCCCTTGCGCCCGACTCACTTGCGCCCGATTCTCTTGCGCCTGATTCGCTTGCGCCCGATTCCCTTGCGCCCGAATCGCTTGCGCCCGATTCGCTTGCGCCCGATTCGCTTGCGCCCGATTCGCTTGCGCCCGATTCGCTTGCGCCCGATTCCCTTGCGCCCGATTCCCTTTCGCCCGATTCCCTTGCGCCCGATTCCCTTGTGCCCGATTCCCTTGCGCCCGATTCCCTTGCGCCTGATTCGCTTGCGCTCGATTCGCTTACGCTCGATTCCCTTGCGCCCGATTCCTTTGCGCCCGATTCCCTTGCCCCCGACTCGCTTGCGCCCGATTCGCTTGCGCCCGATTCGCTTGCGCCCGATTCCCTTGCGCCCGATTCGCTTGCGCCCGATTCCATTGCGCCCGATTCGCTTGCGCCCGATTCCCTTGCGCCCGATTCCCTTGCGCCCGATTCCCTTGCGCCCGATTCGCTTGCGCCCGATTCCCTTGCGCCCGATTCGCTTGCGCCCGATTCGCTTGAGTCCGATTCCCTTGCGCCCGATTTCCTTGCGCCCGATTCCCTTGCCTCCGACTCGCTTGCGCCCGATTCGCTTGCGACCGATTCACTTGCGCCCGATTCGCTTGCGCCCGACTCGCTTGCGCCCCACTTGCTTGCGCCCGATTCCCTTGCGCCCGAATCCCTTCCGCCCGAATTCCTTCCGCCCGATTCCCTTGTGCCCGATTCGCTTGCGCCTGATTCCCTTGCGCCCGACTCCCTTGCGCCCGACTCCCTTGCGCCCGACTCCCTTGCGGCCGATTCGCTTGCGGCCGATTCGCTTGCGCCCGATTCCCTTGCGCCCGATTCGCTTGCGCCCAATTCCCTTGCGCCCGATTCCCTTGCGCCCGACTCGCTTGCGCCCGATTCGCTTGCGCCCGATTCGCTTGCGCCCGACTCCCTTGCGCCCGATTCCATTGCGCCCCATTCCCTTGCGCCCGATTCCCTTGCGCCCGATTCCCTTGCGCCCGATTCCCATGCGCCCGATTCGCTTGCGCCCGATTCGCTTGCGCTCGACTCGCTTGCGCCCGATTCGCTTGCGCCCGACTTCCTTGCGCCCGATTCGCTTGCGCCCGACTCGCTTGCGCCCGATTCCCTTGCGCCCGAATCCCTTCCGCCTGATTCCCTTGCGCCCGATTCGCTTGCGCCCGATTCGCTTGTGCCCGATTCCCTTGCGCCTGACTCCCTTGCGCCCGATTCGCTTGCGCCCGATTCGCTTGCGCCCGATTCCCTTGCGCCCGATTCGCTTGCGCCCGATTCCCTTGCGCCCGACTCCCTTGCGCCCGACTCCCTTGCGCCCGATTCTCTTGCGCCCGATTCTCTTGCGCCCGATTCCCTTGCGCCCGAATCGCTTGCGCCCGATTCACTTGCGCCCGATTCGCTTGCGCCCGATTCCCTTGCGCCCGATTCGCTTGCGTCCGATTCCCTTGCGCCCGATTCGCTTACGCCCGATTCCCTTGCGCCCGATTCCCTTGCGCCCTACTCGCTTGCGCCCGATTCGCTTGCGCCCGATTCGCTTGCGCCCGATTCGCTTGCGCCCGACTCCCTTGCCTCCGACTCGCTTGCGCCCGATTCGCTTGCGCCCGATTCGCTTGCGCCCGATTCGCTTGCGCCCGATTCGCTTGTGCCCGACTCGCTTGCGCCCGACTCGCTTGCGCCTGACTTGCTTGCGCCTGATTCCCTTGCGCCCGAATCCCGTCCGCCCGAATCCCTTCCGCCCGATTCCCTTGCGCCCGATTCGCTTGCGCCCGATTCCCTTGCGCCCGACTCCCTTGCGCCTGATTCGCTTGCGCCCGTTTCGCTTGCGCCCCATTACCTTGCGCCCGATTCACTTGCGCCCGATTCCCTTGTGCCCGACTCCCTTGCGCCCGACTCCCTTGCGCCCGATTCCCTTGCGCCCGATTCTCTTGCGCTCGATTCACTTGCGCCCGATTCCCTTGCGCCCGATTCGCTTGCGCCCGATTCGCTTGCGCCCGATTCGCTTGCGCCCGATTCGCTTGCGCCCGATTCGCTTGCGCCCGATTCGCTTGCGCCCGATTCACTTGCGCCCGATTCGCTTGCGCCCGATTCGCTTGCGCCCGACTCCCTTGCGCCCGACTCCCTTGCGCCCGATTCGCTTGCGCCCGATTTGCTTGCGCCCGATTCTCTTGCGCCCGATTCCCTTGCGCCCGATTCGCTTGCGCCCGATTCCCTTGCGCCCGATTCCCTTGCGCCCGACTCGCTTGCGCCCGATTCGCTTGCGCCCGTCTCGCTTGCGCCCGACTCCCTTGCGCCCGATTCGCTTGCGCCCGATTCCCTTGCGCCCGATTCCCTTGCGCCCGATTCCCTTGCGCCTGATTCCCATGCGCCCGATTCGCTTGTGTCCGATTCGCTTGCGCCCGACTCGCTTGCGCCCGATTCGCTTGCGCCCGACTTCCTTGCGCCCAAAACGCTTGCGCCCGATTTGCTTGCTCTTGATTCGCTTGCGCCCGATTCCCTTGCGCCCGATTCCCTTGCCTCCGACTCGCTTGCGCCCGATTCGCTTGCGCCCGACTCCCTTGCGCCCGATTCCCTTGCGCCCGATTCCCTTGCGCCCGATTCCCTTGCGCGCGATTCCCTTGCGCCCGACTCGCTTGTGCCCGATTCTCTTGCGCCCGATTTGCTTGCGCCCGACTCTCTTGCCTCCGACTCGCTTGCGCCCGATTCGCTTGCGCCCGATTCGCTTGCGCCTGATTCGCTTGCGCCCGACTCGCCTGCGCCCGACTTGCTTGCGCCCGATTCCCTTGCGCTCGAATCCCTTCCGCCCGAATCCCTTCCGCCCGATTCCCTTGCGCCCGATTCGCTTGCGCCCGACTCCCTTGCGCCCGATTCGCTTGCGCCCGATTCGCTTGCGCCCGATTCTCTTGCGCCCGATTCCCTTGCGCCCGATTCGCTTGCGCCCGATTCCCTTGCGCCCGATTCCCTTGCGCCCGACTCGCTTGCGCCCGATTCGCTTGCGCCCGTCTCGCTTGCGCCCGACTCCCTTGCGCCCGATTCGCTTGCGCCCGATTCCCTTGCGCCCGATTCCCTTGCGCCCGATTCCCTTGCGCCTGATTCCCATGCGCCCGATTCGCTTGTGTCCGATTCGCTTGCGCCCGACTCGCTTGCGCCCGATTCGCTTGCGCCCGACTTCCTTGCGCCCAAAACGCTTGCGCCCGATTTGCTTGCTCTTGATTCGCTTGCGCCTGATTCCCTTGCGCCCGATTCCCTTGCCTCCGACTCGCTTGCGCCCGATTCGCTTGCGCCCGACTCCCTTGCGCCCGATTCCCTTGCGCCCGATTCCCTTGCGCCCGATTCCCTTGCGCGCGATTCCCTTGCGCCCGACTCGCTTGTGCCCGATTCGCTTGCGCCCGATTCGCTTGCGCCCGACTCTCTTGCCTCCGACTCGCTTGCGCCCGATTCGCTTGCGCCCGATTCGCTTGCGCCTGATTCGCTTGCGCCCGACTTGCTTGCGCCCGATTCCCTTGCGCTCGAATCCCTTCCGCCCGAATCCCTTCCGCCCGATTCCCTTGCGACCGATTCACTTGCGCCGGATTCCCTTGCGCCCGACTCCCTTGCGCCTGATTTGCTTGCGCCCGTTTCGCTTGCGCCCGATTACCTTGCACCCGATTCGCTTGCGCCCGATTCCCTTGCGCCCGACTCCCTTGCGCCCGATTCCCTTGCGCCCGATTCTTTTGCGCCCGATTCGCTTGCGTCCGGTTCCCTTGCGCCCGATTCGCTTGCGCCCGATTTGCTTGCGCCCGATTCGCTTGCGCCCGATTCGCTTGCGCCCGATTCGCTTGCGCCCGATTCGCTTGCGCCCGATTCGCTTGCGCCCGATTTGCTTGCGCCTGACTCCCTTGCGCCTGATTCGCTTGCGCCCGACTCGCTTGCGCCCGATTCGCTTGCGCCCGATTCTCTTGCGCTCGATTCCCTTGCGCCCGATTCGCTTGCGCCCAATTCCCTTGCGCCCGATTCCCTTGCGCCCGACTCGCTTGCGCCCGCTTTGCTTGCGCCCGACTCGCTTGCGCTCGACTCCCTTGCGCCCGATTCGCTTGCGCCCAATCCCTTGCGCCCGATTCCCTTGCGCCCGATTCCCTTGCGCCCGATTCCCTTGCGCCCGATTCCCATGCGCCCGATTCTCTTGCGCCCGATTCGCTTGCGCCCGACTCGCTTGCGCCCGATTCGCTTGCGCCTGATTCCTTTGCGCTCGATTCCCTTGCGCCCGATTCCTTTGCCTCCGACTCGCTTGCGCCCGATTCGCTTGCGCCCGATTCGCTTGCGCCCGATTCGCTTGCACCCGACTCCCTTGCGCCCGATTCCCTTGCGCCCAATTCCCTTGCGCCCGATTCCCTTGCGCCCGATTCCCTTGCGCCCGATTCCCTTGCGCCCGATTCCCATGCGCCCGATTCGCTTGCGCCCGATTCGCTTGCGCCCGACTCGCTTGCGCCCGATTCGCTTGCGCCCGATTCCCTTGCGCTCGATTCCCTTGCGCCGGATTCCTTTGCCTCCGACTCGCTTGCGCCCGATTCGCTTGCGCCCGATTCGCTTGCGCCCGATTCGCTTGCGCCCGATTCGCGTGCGCCCGATTCGCTTGCGCCCGATTCCCTTGCGCCCGATTTCCTTGCGCCCGATTCCCTTGCGCCCGATTCCCATGCGCCCGATTCGCTTGCGCCCGATTCGCTTGCGCCCGACTCGCTTGCGCCCGATTCGCTTGCGCCCGATTCGCTTGCGCCCCACTCCCTTGCGCCCGATTCCCTTGCGCCCGATTCCCTTGCGCCCGATTCCCTTGCGCCCGATTCCCTTGCGCCCGACTCGCTTGTGCCCGATTCTCTTGCGCCCGATTCGCTTGCGCCCGACTCTCTTGCCTCCGACTCGCTTGCGCCCGATTCGCTTGCGCCCGATTCGCTTGCGCCTGATTCGCTTGCGCCCGACTTGCTTGCGCCCGATTCCCTTGCGCTCGAATCCCTTCCGCCCGAATCCCTTCCGCCCGATTCCCTTGCGACCGATTCACTTGCGCCGGATTCCCTTGCGCCCGACTCCCTTGCGCCTGATTTGCTTGCGCCCGTTTCGCTTGCGCCCGATTACCTTGCACCCGATTCGCTTGCGCCCGATTCCCTTGCGCCCGATTCTTTTGCGCCCGATTCACTTGCGTCCGGTTCCCTTGCGCCCGATTCGCTTGCGCCCGATTCGCTTGCGCCCGATTCGCTTGCGCCCGATTCGCTTGCACCCGATTCGCTTGCGCCCGATTCGCTTGCGCCCGATTCGCTTGCGCCCGATTTGCTTGCGCCCGACTCCCTTGCGCCCGATTCGCTTGCGCCCGACTCGCTTGCGCCCGATTCGCTTGCGCCCGATTCTCTTGCGCCCGATTCCCTTGCGCCCGATTCGCTTGCGCCCAATTCCCTTGCGCCCGATTCCCTTGCGCCCGACTCGCTTGCGCCCGCTTCGCTTGCGCCCGACTCGCTTGTGCCCGACTCCCTTGCGCCCGATTCGCTTGCGCCCGATTCCCTTGCGCCCGATTCCCTTGCGCCCGATTCCCTTGCGCCCGATTCCCTTGCGCCCGATTCCCATGCGCCCGATTCGCTTGCGCCCGATTCGCTTGCGCCCGACTCGCTTGCGCCCAATTCGCTTGCGCCCGATTCCCTTGCGCTCGATTCCCTTGCGCCCGATTCCTTTGCCTCCGACTCGCTTGCACCCGATTCGCTTGCGCCCGATTCGCTTGCGCCCGATTCGCTTGCGCCCGACTCCCTTGCGCCCGATTCCCTTGCGCCCGATTCCCTTGCGCCCGATTCCCTTGCGCCCGATTCCCTTGCGCCCGATTCCCTTGCGCCCGATTCCCAGGCGCCCGATTCGCTTGCGCCCGATTCGCTTGCGCCCGACTCGCTTGCGCCCGATTCGCTTGCGCCCGATTCCCTTGCGCTCGATTCCCTTGCGCCCGATTCCTTTGCCTCCGACTCGCTTGCGCCCGATTCGCTTGCGCCCGATTCGCTTGCGCCCGATTCGCTTGCGCCCGATTCGCGTGCGCCCGATTCGCTTGCGCCCGATTCCCTTGCGCCCGATTCCCTTGAGCCCGATTCCCTTGCGCCCGATTCCCATGCGCCCGATTCGCTTGCGCCCGATTCGCTTGCGCCCGACTCGCTTGCGCCCGATTCGCTTGCGCCCGATTCCCTTGCGCTCGATTCCCTTGCGCCCGATTCCTTTGCCTCCGACTCGCTTGCGCCCGATTCGCTTGCGCCCGATTCGCTTGCGCCCGATTCGCTTGCGCCCGATTCGCTTGCGCCCGATTCGCGTGCGCCCGATTCGCTTGCGCCCGATTCCCTTGCGCCCGATTCGCTTGCGCCCGATTCGCTTGCGCCCGATTCGCTTGCGCCCGACTCGCTTGCCCCCGATTCGCTTGCGCCTGACTTGCTTGCGCCCGATTCGCTTGCGCCCGATTCCCTTGCGCCCGATTCCCTTGCCTCCGACTCGCTTGCGCCCGATTCGCTTGCGCCTGACTCGCTTGCGCCCGACTTGCTTGCGCCCGATTCCCTTGCGCCCGAATCCCTTCCGCCTGATTCCCTTGCGCCCGATTCGCTTGCGCCCGATTCGCTTGCGCCCGATTCCCTTGCGCCCGACTCCCTTGCGCCCGATTCGCTTGCGCCCGATTCGCTTTCGCCCGATTCCCTTGCGCCCGATTCGCTTGCGCCCGATTCCCTTGCGCCCGACTCCCTTGCGCCCGACTCCCTTGCGCCCGATTCTCTTGCGCCCGATTCCCTTGCGCCCGATTCGCTTGCGCCCGATTCGCTTGCGCCCGATTCGCTTGTGCCCGACTCGCTTGCGCCCGACTCGCTTGCGCTCGATTCCCTTGCGCCCGATTTCCTTGCGCCCGATTCGCTTGCGCTCGATTCCCTTGCGTCCAACTCCCTTGCGCCCGATTCGCTTGCGCCCGATTCCCTTGCGCCCGATTCTCTTGCGCCCAATTCGCTTGCGCCCGATTCCCTTGCGCCCGACTCCCTTGTGCCCGACTCGCTTGCGCCCGATTCCCTTGCGCCCGATTCCCTTGCGCCCGACTCGCTTGCGCCCGATTCGCTTGCGCGCCCGACTCGCTTGCGCCCGACACCCTTGCGCTCGATTCGCTTGCGCCCGATTCCCTTGCGCCCGATTCGCTTACGCCCCATTCGCTTGCGCCTGATTCGCTTGCGCCCGATTCCCTTGCGCCCGACTCGCTTGCGCCCGATTCGCTTGCGCCCGATTCGCTTACGCCCGATTCGCTTGCGCCCGATTCGCTTGCGCCCGATTCCCTTGCGCCCGATTCGCTTGCGCCCGATTCCCTTGCGCCCGATTCCCTTGCGCCCGACTCGCTTGCGCCCGATTCGCTTGCGCCCGATTCGCTTGCGCCCGATTCGCTTGCGCCCGATTCGCTTGCGCCTGATTCGCTTGCGCCCGACTCCCGTGCGCCCGACTCCCTTGTGCCCGATTCGCTTGCGCCCGATTCGCTTGCGCCCGATTCGCTTGCGCCCGATTCGCTTGCGCCCGATTCGCTTGCGCTCGATTCCCTTGCGCCCGATTCCCTTGCGCCCGATTCCCTTGCGCCCGACTCGCTTGCGCCCGATTCGCTTGCGCGCCCGACTCGCTTGCGCCCGACACCCTTGCGCTCGATTCGCTTGCGCCCGATTCCCTTGCGCCCGATTCGCTTGCGCCCGATTCGCCTGCGCCCGATTCCCTTGCGCCCGATTCGCTTGCGCCCAATTCGCTTGCGCCCGATTCCGTTGCGCCCGATTCGCTTGCGCCCGATTCGCTTGCGCCCGATTCTCTTGAGCCCGATTCCCTTGCGCCCGATTTCCTTGCGCCCGATTCCCTTGCGCCTGATTCCCTTGCCTCCGACTCGCTTGCGCCCGATTCGCTTGCGCCCGATTCGCTTACGCCCGATTCGCTTGTGCCCGACTCGCTTGCGCCCGACTCGCTTGTGCCCGACTCGCTTGCGCCCGACTCGCTTGCGCCCGATTCCCTTGCGCCCGATTCGCTTGCGCTCGATTCCCTTGCGTCCAACTCCCTTGCGCCCGATTCGCTTGCGCCCGATTCCCTTGCGCCCGATTCTCTTGCGCCCGATTCGCTTGTGCCCGATTCCCTTGCGCCCGACTCGCTTGCGCCCGATTCCCTTGCGCCCGATTCCCTTGCGCCCGACTCGCTTGCGCCCGATTCGCTTGCGCGCCCAACTCGCTTGCGCCCGACACCCTTGCGCTCGATTCGCTTGTGCCCGATTCCCTTGCGCCCGATTCGCTTGCGCCTGATTCGCTTGCGCCCGATTCCCTTGCGCCCGACTCGCTTGCGCCCGATTCGCTTGCGCCCGATTCGCTTGCGCCCGATTCGCTTGCGCCCGATTCGCTTGCGCCCGATTCCCTTGCGCCCGATTCCCTTGCGCCCGACTCGCTTGCGCCCGATTCGCTTGCGCCCGATTCGCTTGCGCCCGATTCGCTTGCGCCCGATTCGCTTGCGCCTGATTCGCTTGCGCCCGACTCCCGTGCGCCCGACTCCCTTGCGCCCGATTCGCTTGCGCCCGATTCGCTTGCGCCCGATTCGCTTGCGCTCGATTCCCTTGCGCCCGATTCCCTTGCGCCCGACTCGCTTGCGCCCGATTCGCTTGCGCGCCCGACTCGCTTGCGCCCGACACCCTTGCGCTCGATTCGCTTGCGCCCGATTCCCTTGCGCCCGATTCGCTTGCGCCCGATTCCCTTGCGCCCGATTCCCTTGCGCCCAATTCGCTTGCGCCCGATTCCCTTGCGCCCGATTCGCTTGCGCCCAATTCACTTGCGCCCGATTCTCTTGCGCCCGATTCCCTTGCGCCCGATTTCCTTGCGCCCGATTCCCTTGCGCCTGATTCCCTTGCCTCCGACTCGCTTGCGCCCGATTCGCTTGCGCCCGATTCGCTTACGCCCGATTCGCTTGTGCCCGACTCGCTTGCGCCCGACTCGCTTGCGCCCGATTCCCTTGCGCCCGATTTCCTTGCGCCCGATTCGCTTGCGCCTGATTCCCTTGCGTCCGACTCCCTTGCGCCCGATTCGCTTGCGCCCGATTCGCTTGCGCCCGATTCTCTTGCGCCCGATTCGCTTGCGCCCGATTCCCTTGCGCCCGACTCCCTTGCGCCCGATTCCCTTGCGCCCGATTCTCTTGCGCCCGATTCGCTTGCGCCCGATTCCCTTGCGCCCGATTCGCTTGCGCTCGATTCGCTTGCGCCCGATTCGCTTGCGCCCGATTCGCTTGCGTCCGATTCGCTTGCGCCCGATTCCCTTGCGCCCGATTTGCTTGCGCCCGATTCGTTTGTGCCCGATTCGCTTGCGCCCGACTCCCTTGCGGCCGACTCCCTTGCGCCCGATTCGCTTGCGCCCGATTCGCTTGCGCCCGATTCGCTTGCGCCCGATTCGCTTGCGCCCAATTCCCTTGCGCCCGATTCGCTTGCGCCCGATTCCCTTGCGCCCGACTCGCTTGCGCCCGATTCGCTTGCGCCCGACTCGCTTGCGCCCGACTCCCTTGCGCCCGATTCGCTTGCGCCCGATTCCCTTGCGCCCGATTCCCTTGCGCCCGATTCGCTTGCGCCCGATTCCCTTGCGCCCGATTCCCTTGCGCCCGATTCCCATGCGCCCGATTCCCTTGCGCCCGATTCCCATGCGCCCGATTCGCTTGCGCCCGATTCGCTTGCGCCCGACTCGCTTGCGCCCGATTCGCTTGCGCCCGACTCTCTTGCGCCCGATTCGCTTGCGCCCGATTTGCTTGCGCCCGATTCCCTTGCGCCCGATTCCCTTGCCTCCGACTCGCTTGCGCCCGATTCGCTTGCGCCCGATACGCTTGCGCCCGATTCGCTTGCGCCCGATTCGCTTACGCCCGACTTGCTTGCGCTCGACTCCCTTGCGCCCGATTCGCTTGCGCCCGATTCGATTGCGCCCGATTCCTTTGCGCCCGAATCCCTTCCGCCCGATTCCCTTGCGCCCTATTCCCTTGCGCCCGATTCGCTTGCGCCCGATTCCCTTGCGCCCGACTCCCTTGCGCCCGATTCGCTTGCGCCCGATTCGCTTGCGCCCAATTCCCTTGCGCCCGATTTCCTTGCGCCCGATTCACTTGTGCCCGATTCTCTTGCGCCCGACTCCCTTGCGCCCGACTCCCTTGCGCCCGATTCTCTTGTGCCCGATTCGCTTGCGCCCGATTCCCTTGCACCCGATTCCCTTGCGCCCGATTCGCTTGCGCCCGACTCCCTTGCGCCCGACTCCCTTGCGCCCGATTCGCTTGCGCCCGATTCGCTTGCGCCCGATTCGCTTGCGCCCGATTTGCTTGCGCCTGATTCCCTTTCGCCCGATTCGCTTGCGCCCGATTCCCTTGCGCCCGATTCCCTTGCGCCCGACTCGCTTGCGCCCGACTCGCTTGCGCGCCCGACTCGCTTGCGCCCGACTCCCTTGCGCCCGAATCGCTTGCGCTCGATTCCCTTGCGCCCGATTCGCTTGCGCCCAATTCGCTTGCGCCCGATTCGCTTGCGCTCGATTCCCTTGCGCCCGATTCGCTTGCGCCCGATTCCCTTGCGCCCGATTCGCTTGCGCCCGATTCCCTTGCGCTCGATTCGCTTGCGCCCGATTCGCTTGCGCCCGATTCCCTTGCGCCCGATTCGCTTGCGCCCGATTCCCTTGCGCCCGATTCGCTTGCGCCCGATTCCCTTGCGCCCGACTCCCTTGCGCCCGACTCCCTTGCGCCCGACTCTCTTGTGCCCGATTCGCTTGCACTCGATTCCCTTGTGCCCGAATCGCTTGCGCCCGATTCGCTTGCGCCCGATTCGCTTGCGCCCGATTCGCTTGCGCCCGATTCCCTTGCGCCGGATTCGCTTGCGCCCGATTCCCTTGCGCCCGATTCGCTTGCGCCCGACTCCCTTGCGCCCGACTCCCTTGCGCCCGATTCGCTTGCGCCCGATTCGCTTGCGCCCGATTCGCTTGCGCCCGATTCCCTTGCGCCCGATTCGCTTGCGCCCGATTCCCTTGCGCCCGATTCCCTTGCGCCCGACTCGCTTGCGCCCGATTCGCTTGCGCGCCCGACTCCCTTGCGCCCGACTCCCTTGCGCCCGATTCGCTTGCGCCCGATTCGCTTGCGCCCGATTCCCTTGCGCCCGACTCCCTTGCGCCCGACTCCCTTGCGCCCGATTCTCTTGTGCCCGATTCACTTGCGCCCGATTCCCTTGCGCCCGAATCGCTTGCGCCCGATTCGCTTGCGCCCGATTCGCTTGCGCCCGATTCGCTTGCGCCCGATTCGCTTGCGCCCGATTCGCTTGCGCCGGATTCGCTTGCGCCCGATTCCCTTGCGCCCGATTCGCTTGCGCCCGACTCCCTTGCGCCCGAATCCCTTGCGCCCGATTCGCTTGCGCCCGATTCGCTTGCGCCCGATTGCGCCCGATTCGCTTGCGCGCCCGACTCGCTTGCGCCCGACTCCCTTGCGCCCGATTCGCTTGCGCCCGATTCCCTTGCGCCCGATTCGCTTGCGCCCGACTCCCTTGCGCCCGACTCGCTTGCGCCCGATTCGCTTGCGCCCGACTCGCTTGCGCCCGACTCCCTTGCGCCCGATTCGCTTGCGCCCGATTCCCTTGCGCCCGATTCCCTTGCGCCCGATTCGCTTGCGCCCGATTCCCTTGCGCCCGATTCCCTTGCGCCCGATTCCCATGCGCCCGATTCCCTTGCGCCCGATTCCCATGCGCCCGATTCGCTTGCGCCCGATTCGCTTGCGCCCGACTCGCTTGCGCCCGATTCGCTTGCGCCCGACTCTCTTGCGCCCGATTCGCTTGCGCCCGATTTGCTTGCGCCCGATTCCCTTGCGCCCGATTCCCTTGCCTCCGACTCGCTTGCGCCCGATTCGCTTGCGCCCGATACGCTTGCGCCCGATTCGCTTGCGCCCGATTCGCTTACGCCCGACTTGCTTGCGCTCGACTCCCTTGCGCCCGATTCGCTTGCGCCCGATTCGATTGCGCCCGATTCCTTTGCGCCCGAATCCCTTCCGCCCGATTCCCTTGCGCCCTATTCCCTTGCGCCCGATTCGCTTGCGCCCGATTCCCTTGCGCCCGACTCCCTTGCGCCCGATTCGCTTGCGCCCGATTCGCTTGCGCCCAATTCCCTTGCGCCCGATTTCCTTGCGCCCGATTCACTTGTGCCCG